TATACCAATTGTGATTAATACTTAATATTTGTAGATTTAGCAAGCTTTATATTTATGAATTAAAACAATATTTTAATAGTGAATATATATTTACCATCAGACGTTTACATAATGCAGTGGAAATTTATAACTTCTGGAAAAAAAAATTAGAAATGAGCATACTGATATTTAAAGCACCTTTGTAGACAATACTTTTATAGCATCACATCACAAATATTTTTCTTTTCACATTCATGGAGTTTTGCAAGCAAAACAATTCCTGAAATTAAAAGAAAATTAAAAATGTCTCTTATTAAGAAATGTGTTAATTATAAATGTCTGTTGTAATATGTAAACATTTAATGACAGCTGTATACTTATACAACATTCATCTCCATCAGACGTGAATCCCTGGGTGAAGCAATCTGTGCTTATAGAGGAACAAGTAATAGGTTTATTCCATGCTGATAAAAAGAAGAAAGAGAACACAACGTTTCGGCCGTGGAGCCTTCTTCAGGTGTCAACCTGTGCTTATAGAGGTTTTCAAAAGCACTTTTGTACTGCTGGCATATTTTTGAAGGTAAGACTGTTTAGGTCTCAGTTCTTTTAGGAAGCAATATTTGGTTTGAGAAGAGTAGCATTGCTTTGACCTTCATTATCTGAAGGCTTAAGAGGGAAAGGTACTGTAGATGGACATCCAGACGATAAGAATGTTGTAATGTGTAACCTTATTTTGGTCAGTTAAGCAACAGAAAGGTCACCCACTGACATCGGGGGATTTCCACTTTTTAAATTCCACAAATGATCTGTGGAACAAAACCCTTAACCCTTTGTGATCCCTTGTTTGTGATCTTTAAGAGTGGTAGTGCAGGTGGACAAACTAAAAAATGCTAGAATGTTTTCAAACTGATTTAGGCCTAGATCAGAATGAATACTTCAACCTGCCCAATTTCTATTGCAATTCAAACCCCAGTACTTGACAGCTATGAAGATTGTAAGAGTCTTTGTTCTTCTGCTCAGAAGGAAATCTCCCACTGCGCAGCAGGGTTTTAATTTGCGATTGTTGAAGCAGGTCAAGGTTTTGACTTGATCTGGCTAAGCTATAAGTATGGTTTCTTAATGGAGCTTTTCTAAGTCACTAACCTAAAGGGTAAATGGAGCTTAATGGAGCTTTTCTAAGTCTCTGGGAAAGAGAAGGGTTGACAGTAGGTGCCGTGTGTATGCATGCAGGCAATTGAAAATGTCTCAGCTCAAAAATACAATTCTAAAAACATCTGAGCCCAGACATTTACATGTGTTCTCTTTGGAATAGCTATAGTCTTGCAACTCTCATTCGTAAGAAAAAGCAAGACTGCCCCTTAAGAAGATACAGTGGAAATGCTGAATGGAATGTTTCTGAATTCCAGTCTTTAGTAAACAAGTCTTTGCTTGAATAGGGCAATTTGACCACTCTCCAAGTACCGTATATCAGTAACCCCATTAACTGCAGGCCAGACTGACAGGCAGTAAACACTGGTCATGTTCCAGGTCACTAGTTCAGAGGAATTAACCAGTTGCTCAGTTGTACTTTTCTTCAATGACAGGCCTTTATTAATAGTCCAGAACCAGCAGTAATGAGAGTGGCACCCACAGTCCCATTACGCTTTCCATTACATCTTCAATTGAAAGTAATATGAAACCATATGTTAAAAAAATACAGCTAATGTATGTATTCAGTCCTACTGCATCATAAAATGCATCTGTGGTTGCACAAAATAAATAAACCATCTAAAAAAAGACCATCTAAAATAAATTACTAGCAAAAGTATTAGATTATCTTTTGTGTCAGCATCATTATTGTTGCCCAGTACAGAGGTCTCTCATATAAAACTATATATTTCAGTACGTAGTACTTAGTACTTAGTACTACTATACCGTAGTTAAACAGAGCTACTGTAAGTGCACTACAGCACATCATAGCTAAAGCGCAGGGATTTATGATGAAATATTTATAAAAACAGTAGAAAATCTCTCGTGAAAGCAAGATAACGCTGTGCTAATGGTATGCAAAATTAGCGTGACCAAATTAAAGGGACAAAAAAACAAGAAAAAAATAGCAGTTTCTTAGTTTTGTGTGACTTCAAATCCACGGTGTGCAAAGCAATCTTGCAATTAAAAAGAAAATGTGTTTGAGGTTCAAGTCTTATGGTGCTAACGTGTGTCTTTGGCCATCTCTCTCTCTCTCTCTCTCTCTCTCTCTCTCTCTCTCTCTCTCTCTCTCTCTCGGGTCAGGGGTCGCGTAGTGGCCGTGTTCTGCGCAGTGCGGGGCCCATCAACATTAATCACTACGCCAATAAGAAGAGCGCGGCAGAGAGCATGCTGGATGTGGCTCTCCTGATGGCCAACGCCTCCCAGCTGAAAGCCGTGATCGAGCAGGGCAGCTCCTTCGAATTCTACATCCCCCTCATCATCCTCATCAGCATATCCCTCACGCTGCAGGTCATTGTGGGGGTGCTCCTCATTTTCATAGGTGAGTAAGAATCCCTGCAGACACCAGAGCAGTCCGTGCATTTACATTTCGTAATGGATTCTGGAAAGTGTCCAGTAACAGATCAATGCGCTGTGAAAACGGCAGGAAAATTTTAGTTTTGCAGGTTGACTCTGAAGTAACTGTTCCATCTTTGCGGCACTGAAGGTGCCCGTGGGTATAATTTAGCAGCATGCAAGAGGAAAACACTATCTGAACGGAAGAAGAGTTAGCAATCCACAAATAAGCTGCCTCGATTTCTGGCAAGGCGTCCTATCAGGGGGTCCAGGATAGTAGGAAAAAACATACTGTACTTCAGCAACAGAATGATGAGGGCTTCATTATTGTACTGAATGCCTCTGTATGAATCTGTATTAAATCTTGATTTAATATCCTGACCAAATCCTGAACTCCTAGTAGAAGAAAGGAGTTATCTGAGTTGAGGCTGTAATTGCCTGGCATTTACAGTGTGAAGTGTGCTCCACCCTTAGCGAGGACAGGACGTGGTACAGTATTTTATTGATGGAGCATGTTACAGGATCGGCCATGGCGTCACATTCCTCCCCATCTGTCTGCGCTCTGTTGCTGTGCACCACTCAAGCAGCTACTCTGCACACTATGTCCCTTCTTTCAGGCTGGGGCCATCAGAGGATGCCTCCTTGAAATGTTATGAGGAACCTGCTGCTTTTAATTCGTACTATTTTTAAACATCGGTTACAGCCGAACAGCACAGTTATCATATATGATGCGTCAGGGCCCAGGACTTGAGCCTTTGCTAAAATCCATCCATCCATTTTTCAACCACTTTATCCAGTACAGGGCAGCAGGGGGGCTGGAGTCTGTCCCTCGAAGCAACGGGCACAAGGCAGGATACATCCTGGACAGGACGCCAGTCCATTGCAGGGCATAAACATTCACAAACATGCATACACTTACACCAGGGCCAGTTTTCTCAGAAGCCAGTTAACCTACCAGCATGTCCTTGGACTGTGGGAGATAACCAGAGCACCTGGAGGAAACCCACATAAACATGGGGGGAACATGCAAACTCCACACAGACAGCACCCCAGGAACTGACCCCACTGCAAGGCAGCAATGCCAAACACTGCCCTAGTGTGCCAGCCTGAGCCTAGACTGAAAGGTATAAACTGCCTCGTTAAATTTTGAAACACTTCTTAAAATGATGTACCAAAATAACATGCATTTCTTCAGAAATCATGCCCAGCGTTCACAGAGACTGGAGTTCTGTTGACTTACCTAAGCATCCCCCTGAGAGAAACCCGGGAGAACTGCTCAGTAATACAGATGGAAAAAAAAAACTTTAAAATGCTTTTATTTTTCTCCCTTTTCTGCAGTTCGGTACAACCTGAACGATGAAAACAAGCAAGTCAGGCTGAACCATCTCAATAACATTGCCACCGGACTGGTCTTCATCATTGTGGTTGTAAACATCTTCATCACGGCGTTTGGGGTTCAAAGACCAAACGTTAAAAGCTAAGCAAACCCAGTGGCCAGGTAATTTCAGAAAGGTGTAGAAGTGGCACTTTTACTGTGTGGAAGTGTTTACCAAGAGCCTTATTGTGTTTTTGCTCCAGTAACCTATGGCCCAAGACACAAAGTAATTTACAGATCACAGCATTTCAGTGGAGATGTCCTTTCTCTGTATTTCAACTCAGCATCACCGACTTAGGCATCAAATCACCCCATCGGTTCAGTACCCCGAACAAAGAGTGGGCGTGCTACAATATTTAATAGGTTACTTTTGTAAGAGAGAAGGACACCTATCACCTGAGATAACGTCAGAATGTGTAATGCTGTTTTAACTGGATTAGGTTGAATCGTTCTTAATCAATGTACTAGTTTGAATCAATGTGTATAACTGCATATTTGAACTTAAGATTATTTTTGTGCATTAATGTACAGCAAACTCTCAGTTTAACAGACTAACACTGTATGTGGGAAGAGGTATTCATTCTTGGTGAATGTCTGTTAAATCATGAATTTAGTTTTTTCAGCCTGGTGATGTCCAACAGCCTTCAGACAGGCACACAGGCAGTGTTCACAGCCCCCCTAAATTACTGATTAAATTGTTACTAAATAAATCTCCTGACTTATTGTTTTACCTATTGCAATCAACACAGTCAGTGAAAATAGTTCCAGTGTATTTTTTATTAGAAATATTCCAGCTCTTTATTTCATGTCATAAATTTACTGTATAAAATTTGCTAAAATATCCAAAACACATAAACCACCCGTTGTAAGAAATTCCCCTACTGTATCTCTATACCAATTGCCCTTCCCCTATAGGGTGCCTTTTTATATGTATGCTTTTTAGACCTATTTAAAGGTATGCTGTGCAAAATATGCTATTTATTGTTTATTTTTCCATCTGACTGAGATTTATTACATATTTGTGTTACTTTCGTGTACATTACTGTACTGGAATTGTTTTTGCGTAATGGATGGTGTCATAAATAGATAGATAATACTTTATTAATCCCGTAGGGAAATGTGATATACTATAATTTATAACTATATTTATAAATTATAGTATATGTTATAAATATAAAGCTACAGCCCATTTCTACTTTAATTTCTTCTATTTTGCTATTTGCCATTCATTTTTAAGAATAATCCAAGTCTGTTATCCAGGCTAGCTATCACTTCACCAGTCTTTGTCCGTTATTGTGGGGCAAGTCCAGTATTTCTGATTTTACAGACAGAACTCTCCTTTAAACCCAAAGTCCGTTAAAGAAAGGTCTGCGAGACTAAGGGTTTACTGTACTGTGGGTTAGTCTAGAACCTTCTTAATATGAGTCTTCTGTGGTCTTTTTTGAAATCACGAGCAGCTGAACAGCCTGCTGTCTCAAAAGCTGTCCAGATATGCATGTAACCTCTAGTGGCTGAACATCATGACTCACAGCTGCAAGGCCTCTTCAACTCCACAGGGATCAGAAATAAAACAGTCCTTTGTGCTACAGCTCTCATTATATCTTAATCATTATGCTGTTCTCTCAATCAGGATATTTCAGCAAGAACTAACCTGTCAAGAACTTTCATACAACTGTTTTATTTACTTTGCATATTTCAAATGGCAACATGTATTATGTAGAATCATATGGAGTATACATACAGTATGGATTTTAAATGTAATTTGCAAAGCAATGGAACATGTCTATGGCAAGCTGTACGCTAAAATACTTTGAAGTTGCAGATAATCATAGAAATGACAGTTCAACAGCATTCATAGGCAAAAAAGGATTTGTGTTCTCCCAAAGGACAGAACAATTGATGATCTGACCACTAATGAAGGATATGGTCTTTTATTAGCAACCTCATTAATTAGTCTTTTGAAACACGTTTAAAAATAGCATCTCTCTGAATGTGTGGCTGTTGTGATTCAAGCTGAACAAAACCTCTGTTGTTTTATCAGTGCATCTCTTTCCTTTCAGTAGTACAGTATTTCCCAGTTGTTGGCAGAGGCCAGAAGGAGTGGAATTCACCATTTCAGATGATATTCATGAATGCTGAGGTCACCAGTCCTTATCTGAGACACAAGCTGAGCAAACTGCAGAACTTTTGTTTGTCTTTTTCTGTTTTTACTGACAGCTGATTATGCTTCTGAAAATCAACAGAAGTATATTTTAAAGGATATGTACACAGGATGTAGAAGGTTCAAACTTTCCTTTTAAAATGTGTAGGAAATCTTTGTCATGAGTTTTTTTATGAAAAATATACAACAATAGTGATCATAAAACCATCTGTGAATCAAAGGCAACAGAGAGACGACAACAGTTTGACAATGGATAGTTATGTTCGTCTTGATCTCATTTTTGTCTGTAAAAATATTTAAATCATTTTTAAAACCTTGTTTCTTCAAGGTCATTTTAGTAATGATACTGCTTTGACTATTATTTCATTAAAATAGGATTTAATGCCTCATCTGTATGATATTCTTAGAATATGAAGAAGTTATATTTTTCAGTATCGTTTTTTTAAACATTGAAATGCTGCAATCTGAACTATGCAACACAAATTGGAATAAATTAAGTCTTCAGTGGTCCTTTTTGCAAATCACAAGCAGTTGAAGCCTACAGTCTCAAAATGTGTCCAGATTTGATGTTCTAAATCAGCACAGATTGATATAGAGTTTAGTGGGTGAATACTGGAGTTCAAAGAACAAATGTAAACTGATTTGGAATCTGAAGTGCTGTAGAATTCCTGAGACAAAGGGTCTGTGAATGCATGTTCATAGTGGATTTGGGAATTATAGATTTATATAATTGGATGGTCTTTTGACATCCAAGGGACTTTCCATGTATGAATTAATTCTGTTCCAGTTTGTACGTACAGTACATACTGTATAAGCAATGTACTGGTAACATTTTAACACTCACTTAAATTAGGCCCATTGCAATATATATTCAACTAATAGGTTACAATTTAAGGTTAGATGAATATAATAGCTCCAGCAGTTTTGACTTGAATTTTTAACAGATCAGTCTCTTTGACTAAAGGGCTCCCTCTAGCGTTACCATATAAGTTCTTCAACTGTCTGCCTTCATTTTAAATAACTACAAAATTAAATGTATATCGGTATGAACTCATACAAATCGATTACCAATATTAATCATTTGATTTTTCCACATCATATTAAACTACTTTAATGATGTCAAATAATCTGTAGCTTTAAAAATGACAAATCTATGTTTTTAGAAAGTCTTCAACTTCACTAAAAACAAAATCTTTTAGATTCTTTACATTTTTTCCAGTTTCTATGATAGATTTTAATGCTGTATAGAAGAGTGTGATAAAATAAAAATGCTTTTTAACTCTTAATTAGCAGTAAAGAAATTAATAGGGTAAAGATATATATATATGCATTATATGAACAGTACATATTTGAAACATGTATGCATCATTTAGCTATCCATTAACAAATGTAGATTGTTTTATTAATTAGATATATATTTATTTTGAAAGTCATTAGGTGTGCATAGTAAATAGAAATGACAAAAAAAACAGTTTTCTACCTTTAAGCAAATTTGCTGTCATTTATTGTAGAACAAATACATTCCTATTAAAATGATGTGATGTGATATTATAATGATTTCAAATGGCATTTTCAAGAGCTCTTAATCGTGACAGTCTGAATATAATTTCCATCAGTTTCTAATGATATTGGTTTGTTCAGTGTGGACCACTGGGTGAGAAACACTGATAACATACTGTTTTATGTATTTTGTATCAGTGACTTGCTTTTTTCCAAATATGCCTTAATGTAAAAAGTAATTTGTTGAATCTAAATAAATTGAGAAACAATGTCTATGCTGTTGGTTACAATAACGAAGTTAAAGGAAATTCCTTAACGGATCCCCATGTGAACCTGCATCATATTTACTAACCTGGTGCAGAGGCACCAGTGTCACTGTCTCTAGAAAAGTGAATGACTAATTAGGGTAGACTTTTGGGATTTCATTTTCTGTTTAGATAGCTTTTATGAAACCCTTACCTGAATTCTGTGGTCTTAGTACTTAAGCATAGACTTCTGGAAAACCCTGTTTGCTAGGTTGAATTATAACACCTTATAAAAGCATGTTGAAAATGTGGCAGGCAGAGTTTGGACTAGATCTCGTTCCAGCAAACATGCTTCACTGCACTGGCTTCCTGGTGAATTTACCAGGGACATAAAGATGTTGCTCTTGGCTTTAAAGGTCCCGGCCACCTAATAACTCACACTTACGTGGCTTTCCCTGGACACTGTTCTTGGGCTTGTCCCCTCAGCACTACTGTAAACTGGAGAGGACTGAGTTTCCTCCCACTATGGACCTAAGCTGGACGGTGACGTTTTCTTTCCACAGCCCAGGTGCACGATAAAATTGAGTGTCTTGTCTGTTGCCTTAAAACTGATATGGTCAGACTTGCATTCCTAGAACTATTATCTTTTTATTGTACAGGGATCCTGTTTTATGAAAGGTGCTCTATACAATAAAGCATATTATTACATATTTATCCACTAATATACTGAATACTATATTATCATGCATCATCAGTAAGACTCAAAAGAGCACAAGATGTGTGGGGAGTGCTCTGGCGCACTCTGGCTGCTGTCACATCATCCAGGTGGATGCTGCACATTGGTGGTGGTGGAGGGGAGTCCCCATTACCTGTAACGTGCTTGGACTGGAGTGTCCAGAAAAGTCCTATTTAAGTGTAAGCAGTTAATAATGAATTAAAACTGTGTGATAGCAGTTGTTTTCTGTCAAGTCACCTTGTTCCCCTCTCACACACCTTTACCTTCCTAAAATGGTAAAGAAAAGACAAGGATTCATTGGTTTCCAACGAACTGCTAATTAGAGGATGGGTAAAACTGTGCTTTGGAATCTTTCAAACAAATTAATCTTTCTGCTTTCAATACTAAATCTTTTGAAAGAGTTAAAATGACTTTAACATCGTCCCACGAGCTGTCAGCCAACATTGAAGCATTTGGCTACAGTGATTCTTGCAAATCTCTCCGCATTATCAGATCCACTCTTGTCACTATTCCCTAGGATTTAAACATCATTTTATACCACCAGGGGTACAGCACAATGTGGATATGATCAGACTTAATATAAGTACATCAAGCAATCTGAATTGCTGAGATGCTTATATGAAATGATTAAAACACTAGCTAAAATATTTTTCCTCAGCTCTAATCTCTTCTAAAAAAACTAAACAGGAACTCTCCCTCAATTTAAATAATGTCTTGTTTTTGGTAAGCTGACCATCACCCCCAGAATTAGGTATTATCAATACTATGGGTAGAAATGTTTTACTGCAGTGAAAGTACAAATGTACTGTGATGTAAAATAAAATGGAGTGTTTTAAATAAAACAGATTTTGAGCAGTACAGAAGAAGGCATAATAAGAACAGAACAAAGTATTGAGACTTGCATCCCTCAAAGATAATGTATTTAATTGCATTGTTTCTAATTTAATATGAAAGATTTTGACTTTGAAGTTAATTTCAGCTGTAATATACAGCCATTGTACAATAAAGCTGCACTAGCAGATGTAAGCCAATATTTCTCGGACATGGTCTGTTCAAAAACATAATACTCAGCACTTAAAAATTCTTTCCATATAAGCACTAATAAGATCACAATGATTGATGATCACAAGTAATTATTAACAGAGCTTAAAACTCTAGCTTAACCTAATAAATGCTTAGGGCAACTCTGTTATAAAATCTTCAAATAATTTAACTTGAATAACTTAAAGACACAGGTTTAATGCAATACCACGAAACAAGGTTGTCTTAATTTTTTTTTATTTTTTAAAAGTTCACCAAGGACAGGATTCACAAAATTTTCCTCTACTTATATTTTAAATCTAAGAATTTGATCCAGTAGAGGAAAGGCATTTTAAAGCATGGCACGGAGGAATCAAGGCACATAAGAAGGGTCTGGCATTTAACTGTGACAGTCCACACACCTGCTTCTTCAGGCTACCCTGCCAATAGGACAGCATCTGAAAGCATACTATTAATAGCACCAAACTCTGCCTCTTGTCTTTGGTATGGCAAGGTACTAAATTCATTCCTCAGAGCGTATGCCAAGTCTTATCAGGACTTGGAAATCATTGGTTTAAAGTCTTCACTTTGTAATTCAACAAGGACTATAAGATACTGCTGGCATAAATGCTTAATTAGAGACACGTTTCTCCTGATTCATAAAATCCAAAAGCAATGAGATAGAAGAAATCAGAATCCCTTCAAATAACATTTGGACATACTTTCAAATGCTACAAAAAATTTGCTTCGTATGTAACTAAGATCCCTGCACCCGGAAGACGTTGCAAAAATTTGGAACTGATAATTACGTTTTGTGCTTTTCTTATTAAAAAAATAAGTTACAGACCGAGCATGCATTAACTTGTAGATAAACTCAACCATTTTTTAACTAGATATTCCAGGCATTGCATATGGAAAAATGTACATAAGGAGTAATCAACTGAAATGCACTTAAAATACCCTTTCACTTCCTTCTAAAACTTCCAGAGAAGTTAACAAAGTTAACAGAAGTTAACAGATGTTAACAAACATGTACCTTGTGCATGCCCTGAGTAACATGTCTGAAGTCATTTTCTTGATAGGAATATACAGTCTTTACAAAGCTGTGGAACAGGAACAAAGATTGTTCAACCATTTACTAAAATGAATTGCTTGTTCTTATAGAATTAGAAAAGAAATGTGTTTCAAATCGCGTGCAAATTGTACACACTAAGTAAACTAAACCTTGTTCCATTCTAAAGTAGAAAATTCTGCTCCTGCAGAACAGTTCAGAAAATGCAGATCTTGATGATCAGGTGATAAAAATATAAAAGAGACACACTCTGCATACTCTTATGAAGAGTATAGAAACGTTAAGCCTGCATAAAACAATGTCCAACTTTAAATATTATAGCAATTGTATTATAGCAAATGTATTATAAAAGGCTCCTGGGATTAAAACGCACCAGTAAAATAAATATATACATTATATATTATATACATGCATAAAAACAGCAACTAGAGTCCTACTGCATCTTGTTCAATAAAGAAAGCGTATTTTCTTTAGTGTTGGCCTGAGAATGGCAGACTCAATGAGAGCAACACTACAGCTTCCACTGATTGATATCAAGCACATGAGCACTGCGAGTGTTACTGGCGTGAGCTGTTGTCCTTGGCGTAAGATACTAATACTTCTTTAGCTCGTCTGCCCAGTCCTAGGGCAGTAAATCCCAAAATCTTTTTGGCATCTCCAAGAACTTTACTCTCTGGAAAAGAAAAGATCATTGCGCTGAGCAAACAGCTACCCATGCATCTAACACAAACACATTACAGAGAAAGATGGCACGAAATGTTTTTTTACCCATCTTTCACGCAAAAATGAAACAATGAAAAACAAAGGAAGGATTCCCATCTATACTTCCCAAGTCTAGAAACTTTTATAAAAGTTATATTTCCATGCATACTCTATAACTAAAAAAATTACATTGTTTAACTTATTATTATTTAATCATAAGGCACCTATTGCTCCACATGTTGGAACTGCTTGAACATTTCAGAGTGACTCACCTGCACCATAATAGTAGAGAAATGCTGCACCAACAGCAACACTGAAACAACTGATAAAGAACAGTGGACCTGCAAGGCAAACACAGTTTGACTGTCCTGGTCTATTACATATTAAACTAGTTAGTAAAACAAGAGCTGATGACAGGCCTAGCATGAGCAACATGGATACTATGGGGGTGTATAATGATGTTAATTTAATTGACCTTTACATGCTAAACACAACAACAGACTTTACACCCAAATCGCATACAGAAGTGGTTCCTTCGTGTGCCTGTTTGCCAGGAAGTACAGGATACTTATCAAGTTAACTGGGCTATTTGAACAACTATCAGTATATCCTGAATGAAATCTACGCACCACGGAGCAAAATAACATTTGGTCCAGCACATTAACAAAGGGGACCATTTGAAATGCGAAGTCACAGTGACCTCTTGAACAAACAGCTTCGTAGCACAGGCACAGACGTGAAGGGTCACACTAAGCTCATATAGGACCCCACTGATTTATTCTGTTATGAGCAGAAGGAGATCTTTCATGATCTGGATCTGATTTATGTGGGTTAACCAAATGTTATACTGCTCCAGTGCATACAGCTTTCACCATAACTGTTGTTTAAATAAGCCAGGTAGCTTCATAAACATCTTATAAGTGATGTTTTACCTCATTTGTGTGCTCTACACTGTAGACATATTGTAACGTGAAGTCAATTAATCACATTGTCATAATTAATCTATAGATGCATGTGCCTTTGAAAACTATATTCCAGGGCTACAGGCTCTGGACCGATCTGAGAAGATATACATTAATCAAACTTCCACTCAGTACAGGGGCACTACACGCTGAATTAATACCAAATCAAACATTTCAATCCCGGTTTAAAATGTTAATGTCTGTGTGAGTCAGTTAAAGACTATTCTGCTGATTTCTGTCAGATGACAAAGACTGAAAGAAGATCTTAAACAGGTTATAGGATCTTCCTGTTAAAATCATTTTGTATCGGTAGACACAGCCCTCAACAATAAAGGTTTTTCCATCCAATATTCTAAACATATTACTTTTTTTTCTAAAATACAATTTTCCTTATGACAAGATTACTATAAATTTATTTCAGCAGCCACATGCAACATGACGTAATACAGTATACTGAACCAACATACTGTTTTTGTGACATACTTCAGTAAAAGAGGCTCTTTCCTATGTCTCATGTATCCTGGACTGTACAACACATACAGCAAACAGAAAAAATGTTAATACTCTACTCTAAAATGTTAGAGAATGCTAATGTGTTAAGACACCAGTTAATGGCATTTAAGGGTTACTCTCAGTATCTCTCTCACCCTTAAACATGTTGCCAGAGTTACTGTTTAACCTGCTGTTATGCTCTATCAATTAGTATTTCATTGAATCTAAAGAAACAAAATACAAAATAATAAATTAAAAAAGGCAGACTTCCTTGGAGAGCCACTGCTCAAGAAATTTAAGAATGCAAGCACTTATAAAATTTAGGATTATTAGTATTATATGGTTTGATTTACCCCTGTCATTAAGAACAAATTTCTCTCTGAGGTCTGGGTGATTGTTAGTTCCTTTAGGCTCTGCTGTTTCTGGGAACAGAAGTAAACAGTTATTTCCACTGCACAAAACACACAGCTAAATAGTAACACATCAACTGTTAATGTATCATTTCTTTTCAAATCCTTGATTACAGTACTATTTTACATCATTTGGTAAGAAACATGCTGTAATTAGAGGTGCAGAAAATTAAATTAAAAGGTTTGGTAGAGAAATACACTGTTGCCACAGAGTGGTAGTTATTTTATGTGGGTGAACAAGGAATTAAACCCTACTGTTTTTCTGTACACTACATTTCACAAGAATATGTTTTAAAAATCAATAACTCCATGTGATACGTTATCTAACCATGCATCGAAATATGACGTTAAAAACAATTCATGAGCTATTACTCATGAATTCCACAAATGAAGCTGGCTGATATGAAAGTCTGGATGAAAGATGAATGAAACTGATCTGGTTTGAGAAATCAAAAAACCCAGATTCTTTAATAGGACAGGAGAACAGACCCAGGAAAACTGAACCAGGCAAGCGTTTCGACATCTGTCCTGATTGCTTCCAGAGAACGACAGGACAGAAGCTTTGATGATGGCTAGAGAAACTCACCTCTCTTGCTCATTCTGCTTGGCAGGCTGACGTAGATGTCCTCAGCGTGGATCTGCAGAGCTCTGTAGAACTCGTGACAAGCTTCCTCTCCCTTCTTCTGCAAGTGAGTCAGGAGCTCAGCCAGTCGGATGCCAGTGGGGACTTTCAAGTTTCTGAACTAGAGAGCACACAAAGGTCACTCTTCTACTGAAGGGAATGACAAATGCTACCCTGTCCAACAATAGTCGTCCCTAAGGCTTTTAGCTATGTCAAGACGATGAAATTGACACATTTTTTTACAATACTGAGGATTAAGTTATTATTTTAAGGACATACAAGAGAAGGTATTCAGGATTAAAACAAAAGCTAAGAAAGCGTTATGTTTTCAGTGATGACTCTAAATCAAGGCTCAGGCTCACTGTTAATCAAATGGACGTGTGAATCTCTTCTAGTGACCTCCTGTACCCATAGGTCCAACCAAAATAATTTCTTTGGTTTATGTAGATCTCTGGTACCAGCATCACAGGGTTTATACACCAGATATTTATAAGAAATAAGATATTTATTTAATGCTTACTTGTCGACTACATACGCATTAGTAAGTCAATGTAAAGGGCTGATTGAAATGGTTCAATATGATTTCTTTTTATACCATTTTTACTGGCTTTTGCTCTATCCGTTCATCGTGAGGGTAGTTCAAAACATAAAACAAGACATACAGTAGCTGATGCATAAATATAGACGCATATTAATATTGCAAGACTGACTCAGAAATGCACTAAGGTCGAATTTGCAGTGTGTATATAAAAAGCATCTTGGGGAAGAGTGAGCTGCGGTATAGCTATATGTCCTAAAAAACGTGTCGCTGTTACAGTAAGTCGCTTCATAGCAAAATACACTTACTTTCTGCGCTTCCTTGTCAGTCAGAATTTGTGGGTAAATTCTGTTGAGCTGCAGAACAAGTCTATCAAGAAGCTCCGTGTCCAGTCTTCTGTCTCCTCTCAGATAAGGTGTGTCCTGAAGCAGCTGATCATGGTAACTGTCTGTGATTCGTGATACAGCAAAGCCCACACTTACTGTATATTCGAGTGATGTTCTTCCGCTCCTTCTGTTAAATGCTTATTAATGCATAGTTTACTAGTCTTTCGTGATAGTTACGGGCATTGAAACAGAGCAGAACTGTGGATCGAAAATGTCCCAAGTCCCGTCCAAAAGCAGGAAACAATATCCCTAATTACTACTAATGCTTCATTTGCTGTTTTTTTTGTAAACTATATGTACACATTTGCGGTTCAGAGCATTTTTTATCTAGAATTATATTTATAGTAGAACCCAGCATGTAACGATATGGTTAACATGAACACAAAAACATTTTCAGGGCTGTTTCCCTCTTGCATTTAAAGATGATAATTGTACAATACAATAAAGCCAAACTCTTGTCTGTGCATCTGCGTGCAATACGAGCTTTGTTATTACTGCCAAGTGTCTACACGTCTCCACCCTGGAAAACGCCTTTATGACTCATCGCAGTAACTACAGTACATAAAACAGACAAAGCATATGCACTGCTTTAAAGCTTAACGAGTACCTCCATTTAGGAAAATAAATATAGAGCAAAACCGAAATGAAAAAAAAACATGCATTTCAAGAGTAATATTATGTGCAAAACACTTGTCAAATAATAATTTACAATGACTTTGAAAGACTCTGCAAGTTGTTGAAAGTTCGTTCTACGCCGAGGTTGCCAAATCTGGTGCTGTTCTGTACAGCAACGAAACCTCAATAAGAAGAAAACTGAGTTTGAACAGAGTCAAATTGTATTCGTGGTCGTTACAGTGATCACACACCTTATTGCAGCTCGGGGAGTAAGGTCAAACAACAGCCCCCAGCAGGTCGTAACGCTTAACCCAGCTACAAGCTGTACAGCGGCACCAGGTGGAAACTGTACTGTACGTGAAACACCCCCACAAACTAGTCCAGATGAGTCAAAATAGTTCCAGCTTTTTTTTTACTAACCTGACATAGTGGAAAACTCCTGCAACTTCTGTCTTTCTGACAAGTTCCCCTCTCACCCCCCCCCCAACAACTTCCTCAATTCTGTCCCTCCCATCATGGTTGACCGGGAAACCCAGCACGGCGACGTGGGGTTAATGCCCTCGTACGTCACAGGCGCGACAAGAATCTCTTAAGGTGGACTGTATTTCAGTAGTGTCAAAATCGTTAAGGTGGAATGCAAGAGATCCTTGTAGTATTTAAACCAGGGTGGGGCAAACTCTTATAGTACGGCCCGCGGGCCAGTTTTAACCGGCCCTTGAGGTAAAAACATAAATTAGTCAATATTCGCTATATCCCACCTTGTTTGGTGCTATTTTTTTCTTGCATTTCAATATTCCTGCCGTTAGACGGCGCACGAACGCAATACCATTTTGATTCACCGGTTAAGAGGGGGTCCATCGTGCTGGGAGGAGGGAATGAGTGGCGTGAAAAAGCGGAAAGTTGACCGTGAATGCAGCCTTCAACGAAGAATGAACTGCAAAATACTTTTTCACAGAGGTTGGAACAAAGGCTGTATGCTTAATTTGTAAGGAAATTGTTGCAGTGTTAAAAAAAAATACAACCTCAGTCGGCATTTTTCTAACAGACATGCTGACTATGCTAGCAGTCTGTCATGCCCGAAGAGCGGGCTAAGAGCTTCCAAACTAGCCGCTAGTTTACAGTGATTAATCGATTATCCGAGCGCTCTTGCTTTGATATAACCAAACAGCATGATTCATACATACTTGAACCTGCTTCAAAGAATGCGTTCAAAATTATTTGTACTTTTCAAAAATACTTGAAGACCAAGAATGAATTAAAAAAAAAACATTATTCGTCGCTGTTAGTATTGACTCTCCTTTGTGAGAATGCACGTAAATAATAATGATTGTTGTGAGCAATGAAGTCTGCATATCCCCAGAGATCCCTGCTGTATTTACTTTCTTTGTCCAGGAGATGGTACCCTTGCTACACAGAATTTATTGGCCAATACATTGCATGCCAGCCGGCAGCTGTATCACCCTGCAGCTCTCAGTTGGCTACCCACTGAAGCTAAGCAGGGTTGAGCCTGGTCAGTCCCTGGATGGGAGACCACCTAGGAAGCTATGGTTGCTGCTGGAAGAGGTGTTAGTGGGACCAGTGGGGGTGCTACGGTCTGTGTGGGTCCTAATGCCCTAGTATAGTGGCGGGGACACTATACTGTTCTGGGCACCGTCTTTTGGATGAGACGTTAAACCAAGGTCCTGACTCTCGGTGGTCATCAAAGATCCCTGGGCATTTAGGGACTAGGGAGTTATCTCGGTGTCCGGGCCAAATCTTCGCCCTCGGTTTTCAACCGTGGCCTCCAAATTGTCCCCATGTGTGATTGGCCTGCACTGGCCCTGAGGTGGACTGGCTTCCTGTCCAGGGTGTACCCTGCCTTGCGCACATTGCTTGACGTGCCATGACATTGCACGCCTTCTTGGTACATGGGATGGCTGGAGTATATAAGAAGGGATCTAACCAACCATGCCTGCTCTTTCAAGTTCAAGTTCATTGTCATTACACTCATATACATGGTATATGGTATAACGAAATGCTATTTAGCTAGCTCTTGGACATAAGTAGTACAAAGAGAAAAAAAACAACAACAACAATACAGTTGTGTAGCAAAAGAAAGACAGAGACAACAGGCAAAAAAAACAAGAACAGACGATGTGCAAAAAACAACAACAGGCAATGTGCAAAACAACAAAAAGGTAACAGGTTATGTGCAAAAATATGCATCAACAGAATAAAATAAAGGGATACAAAATTATGGGGAGTGATCTTTTGACATGTACAGTATGGTAGAGGTAGATTTTCAATGTGTGTTTGGGTTTTTGGTAAGAAAGAAAGGAAGAAGGCACTGTGAGGTTCAGATCATAGGTGAGAGGTGAGGTGAGAGAGGCTGTATCCAGCGGAAGGTCCACAAATGTTTGCTGGTACTGTGTGTTTCATTTACATTCATGGATTCTTCCAGAACATTCAGCAGAAAACGAGAAAGGACCTTTCTCCGTTTAGGAACGTTTTTGGTAGGAACAAATTTCCGACATGACTTATTTTTTATTATTCCTTTACTGAAAGAAAGTTATCTGACGCGAAACCCTGTAGCTGTAGATCCTAATTCTAGACTTCGAGAAGTTTCAATAAAATAGTGCGTCATTCTACATGAAAGTTTCTTTCATTTCCTGCTTCTGAGGGCAGTACAGACCGTGGCTGCCAGTTCTGTAGTTGGGTAGCTCTAGATTTCTGGGTTTGATTCTGTTCGTGTGTTTACATGTTCTCTCCGTGGGTTTTTGCTGGATTCTCTGCTTTCCTACAGGTTTTTCCCTGTTATCCGTGAGCTTTCTGAACATGGCATGATATGCTCTTCCCCATTCATGGGCGACATATAACATAAGGAAATTTCCCTTTACAAACTAAAATACTGTCTTTGTGCTCCGACACTGCCTACATTTAAGTGACAGCTGTAAAAATACCTTTTTTTGAATCTTTGTCCTCTGTAAATCTCAATGTCTCCTGGGCCACCCCATCATCCACTTCCTGGATTAGAGCCACAGAATATAAGGTTCGTTACACAGTCTTTGCTTTAAAATAGGTTTAACAGCCGGAGAGCCTGTACAAAAGGGGATCATCCTATGACTCGTTGCATTTCTGAAATGTTTTCTGAAAAGCCTAGAGCAAACCGCGCCCCCAACATAAAGACAGAATAATTGCATTTTAGGAAAGCAGGCTCTCATAGCAAAGCAAAGCAAGAGTGATGGGAGTAGGTACATAAAAATAATCACAATGAATTGAATTTGCACAGTATTTTTTCATCTCAGTGGCTAGTGCTTTGGATTCAGGAAAGCTCTCTTCATTCATTACCGAAGTGCAGCAAAGTCTGCTGGGTGACATCCAGCAGACTTTACTGTAGACGTCCACTTACAGTAAGGCAGTGTCACGACCGCCAGCCAGCAGAGATCAACCCACAGAAGAGCTAACCAGTGCCAGCAGCGGGTTAATAATAACAAGCGCCGCCGCACGTGTTAATCCATCAACACCCACTCTACCGTGCAGCACGCAGCGCTATTTAAACCATCCTAACTTGCTTCTCGCAGCTCGGTATTGATTCCCTCTCCTACAGAGCGCCTACCTCGCCTTTTGTTAGGAACCCTCTTGTGATGCTTCTTTCAGCTTTTGAACTACCTTTTGCTTCCGACTACGAACTCGCCTTGCGTTTTGGATTGGACACCTGTTTCAGTATCCACTGTACATTCTCCTTTGTCTGTATAGGATCCTCATACCTCAACACCTGGATTCGTTACAGGCAGCATGTCAGATTGTGGTGGTTTGGGTTGGAATGGAGCTAGCTCACTGGGAATCGCAGCCCGGCACTTACAAATAATGCCAGTGAAAAAGTGACCAAAACCTGGCTAATCTCCTACTTCAACTTTTTCTTTTTATCTGTCGGATCATGAACCTTAATTCCAAAGTCATTGGTGAGCCTTTAAGACTCCTGGCACAGCTTAATGCCCATCTGATGCTGAGGAAGGCCTGTGCCATCGTAGAAAACCCATCTCATATCCTTCATCAGTCTTCTGACCTTTTGCCTGCAGGAAGACATTGTCTCTGTCCACAGCGCAATGGGAGTAAATTTAGCTCTGTTCTAGTGGTTCTGAAGCTTGCCAAATAATGAGTGCAAAGAAAGTTTTAGCAATATGATCTCTCTTGGACAGAGTCCCCTCTGTAAATGCACGTGCACTTTGTTACAGTACATTCTCATAAACATTTTATGGACCTTTTGCTGTTGTTTTTTTTTTAATAGAAATAGTGTGAAATGGTTTTTACTGCTTTTCTTTGATGTGTTGCATGTTGTGCTGCGTGCTGCTTCAATTGAGCCTTGGGGATGTATGTTTTGAATTGAATTGTCCAAATGACAGCACCACCTTGTGGCACAGAGTGAAGAGCACCTCCTGCTCATGCACTGTACAGTATATCTTTTACAGCAGCAGGCCTCATTTCACTTGGAGGTCTTCCAGCCCAGTATGGACTAGGACCAGTTTAGCTTAACTTCTGAGTTTTGACAAGAAAATCGAGCTAAAAGTGCTATAACTGCTGTCAATGTAGGGGGTAGTGCGTGTTCCTTCATTGAAAACATCCAATCTCTTACGAGTGCATATACAGCTAAACCCTAGTAGGATAACAAAATAAGACATCTGTTTCAGTACCACAATTTATTGCATGAGAAGAAAGGTAAAGACATGAATAAAGTGTATTTTTGTTCTTCTATGGATGTAGCTGCCACAAAGAAAATATGCCATAGAAACAAGGAGGGCTATGAACGAACAGGTCTGAAAAGCAATCTAAATAATGGTGAAAAGCACACTTCTACCTCAAAATGTTTTTCAGCCTGAAAGAGATTATAACAGAAATTAAAAAGGGAGCCTTCAAGCTCCGAGGCATATTGTAAATATTATGATTCTGCTGTCTGCTTTTTAGATTTTAATCAGACTGATTCATCCAGGATCAATTGTAAATCAAGGACTTCAGGGTACGGCAATGAAAGGCTTAATGCAGTTATTGATATACAATTTTATACCGAGAACAGACCACACTCTGTGACTCCCTATTACAGACACCACAGAGAGCAATATGGTTGTCTAGGTGAGTGATAGTGTAATATAACAGCAGGAGATCAGAAACCGGTAAATACAGAAAACAATCCAAACTCAAAATTTGGAAAGTCAGCATTTCTTGTGTTTTTAACTGGGTCATACAGCCAATAGTCTGCACACGTTCCCTTTTCCAGTTGTACAGCACCACTGATGATACATCTTACACTTGTTTTAAAGATAGTCCAATCTCTGGTATCAAAGAAGTTCAAACAAGGTTAATTCTGAAATTGTAATTCTCTTAAGTTACAGTTACAGAGTTTTAAATTTGGTAATGTTATCCAGTAAATATTGAAGAAATGACTCTCCTCCACTGTGGTTATTGCAGTTAAACCCGCCTGCATGAATATTTTTGCTTAGTCAGAGGACTTATTTTTGTATATTTTCTGTGGAAACCTTTACATATCCAGTGTCATTAGATATATTTTATAGTTACAAATTACTTTATAATTCATTTTGTCCAACCAGCATACCCAATGACAAAATAACCAAACAGCAATAACTAGTTTGACTTTCACTTCCATTTGGTGTTGATAGTGGGATGAACCTTCAACACAAAACAGTTTTAGCTCACAGTCTCACTTATACTTGATTTTATTTTCTGTGCACCTTCTTCCCTAAAAAACCTTTAAAAACCCTAAAAAGACCACCAATCCATTTCAACACTTGACAATGTCCACGCTCCTCACACACAAGGACAATCGTTGTGCGGTAGTTAGCCGAGTTCTGAAAGGAAACTTAACAATGAAAAGATTTTGAAAAAGAGACCTCTATCAACTAGGCATGACCTCCCATTAAAAGTGCAAATTGTTCTTCTCTGTAATTCTTGGAGTCAAGTTAAATCCAGTTTAAGGCACTTGTGTGGCTAATTTGGTCTCATAAATAGTGTGCGATCAGCTTCACACAGACATGACATGCACGTGGTGCTCCTTGTTGTGAAGTGGATGCCAGCAAGTCCCATAGAGTTCTTCGCCTGACCTCCTACTGATCGCTGCAAAGTCACATTCTGGTGGATTGCACATGCCTGGAATCCAAGTTTTCTTTGCCTTACAAATGACAGGTACCTCATGTCCTCTATAAGGGACAGGAACACTGACTTCACGTGGGCATTCATGACACCTACAAAAAACAGCACAATGAGTGTTGTTAGTAGTGCTGAACCAACTGCTTGCCATTCATTCTACTACATACAGACACGGCAGGCTAATGAGCGTATCAACTAATTCTAATATACTGTATATATGACTTAATACTTTCCAATGGTTTCAGTTATGCTATATCTATTATATGACAATTTGTTTCATTAAGGATAATATTTATTATGTGACAAGAAAACAGAAATCAGAGAATGTTATGTTATTAATCATCAGTTCTCTTGGAGTTTATGAAGCTGAGAATAAATAATCTGGACAAGAACAGTGCAGATTAGACAGAAACACCAACTATTCTAAGCAACTGTGTATTAAAAAACTTTTTCATAGCACGTTTTCAAGCTTTCAGCGAAGCAGAACAAAGAGATCGATGACCACTCATTGTAGCTGTGTTGTGCTGTTGTGTTTTTTATGTACCACTTGGGCTTGTATGCTCATTACTAGCGAAGGGTGCTGGTTTTTCCCTTCGAGCTCATTAATTTTCAGCAAGGACTGCATCTCGTCTAACCTTTTTCTGCAGCTCACAAGAGCAACTATTTTTGTCATCCCTTCATTAAGATAAGAGAGAGAGAGTGTGTGTGTGGGTTTACCAAATAGTGTTTTTGTTCTGAAAGATAAAAATCTTTTTTTTATGCCCAGGTTTGAAATAGGCTCTACCTCTCAGTAATGAAATACATCATGCATATTAACAATGTAAACAGCAACTGCGGAGTATTCTAGTCACAGTGAATGTGCATTTCCTGATCTCATGATGAATAATAAGGTTCCTGTGATGAGAGAAGGAGAACAACAGGCAGTGGAATTTGGGTCAGTACTGACTTAACAGTAAAGTACCCAATACAACCTGTGCGCAGTGCCGCCCTTGAGCATGAGCAACATGAACCAATTATTGCAAATCAAGTTAGTGATAAACCATGACTGTATTCATTGCAGACAATAACACAAAAAGAGAATGATGTCTGCGTTAGATGCAACTTCAAAACATTTCCAGACCCACAGTACTTGACACAACTTCAGATTTCCATCAGCAAGAGTTGTTTGTGTCATTAAGGAACTTAAGGGTGGGTGAAAGTCTGTTTCACTTCCTCGGAAACCTCACCTGCAGAAACCCTGGTTGTCATATCCTGTGTCTCTAAAGTCGGCCCTTACAGTCTTTGCCCCGGCTTTGTTGTTGTTGTTGTTTCTTCCCTTGTGCCGGTAATGGTAGGACTGTGTATCTTCCACGTCTTCGCAATTCATCGAGCACCGTGACTGCATGTCCCTGCAAACACAGTATTTTATTTCCTGCTGCCCCTGGTTCCGCTGCACCATGGCACATTGAAAAGCATATTGTCCTAGCAGGGCCTGTCTAGAAGAATAGGGGCCTGGCAGCACTGACAGCTTTGCGTCTGTAAAATATGTACAGGTACAAACCTGGGCTTGAGGAGCAGAATTCAATTAACGTCAAGATTAAATAAGGGCTACACGACAATGACAGCTAATGACAGCAAGAGAAAATGGAGAGGATCTGAGGAGGAAGACTTGAACTATATACTCCTTATTTGTATGGTTTATATTAATTATATATTGTTCCGATGGAGAAGAAATAATATTATTTTCTGGCACCCAGCAATGTATGAGAATCAGCTCCAGTCACAGTAGCTCCACTGGAAGAGCATACTGTACATAGGGACCTTATACTGTACTAGAGCTCTCACAAGGATATACAGTATTACTGAACACACTGCTGAAGCAGGCCCTCGGCAAACAGACAGTTCTTCAGAATTTCTATGAAGAAAACAAAGCCGATGTCGAGAATGCCTCACCTTTCCTGTCTTCTTTGTTCACTTTTCTTCAAGCATTTAAGCAGGCAGCAGGTCAGAAAGGCCATAGACATTAGAAGGATGACAGCACAGCTTACAATGGATGCAATCACGGCCACTTTAAATCCAAAATCTTCATACCTAGACAAAGCTTTTAAAAAAGCAACAAAACCATGTCACTATTATATTATTCCCTCAAAAGTAATGGGGAAAAGACAGGGTGATAGTTTTCGTTACGTAGATTATATACTGTAATAATACCAGCAACTCCAAAAACAAAATCCAAAAGACTGTAGCCACCAGACTGAATTTTCACAAAATGTTGATACATACAGAGAAGACTCAAAAATAAAAAAAGAAATAGCTTCCATTTACTACAAGAGGATTTGCACATATGTACATCTCCTCCAAAACGTTTTCTTATTCTTTTGCTCAAATTATAATCTAATGTTCAAAGCTGTATAGCACAGAAAGTACAGAAGGATGGTGAAGTACAGTATAGTTTAGCTAGCCTGCTAACTGCTTAGACCTTTGTTTGTGGTGTGATAACTGCCTTCACCCACACATAAATCTTCACCAGCTTTTTTATAATGGAGTAGGTGGTCGGCACAGTTATGCAGAATTGAGAGCAGAGAACCACAAAAACCATAAAAAAATATAAATGGCTTCACAAAAACACTGGAGTGGTAGAAGTTCTAACCATATACTGTACTGTAGCAAGTTGGGATGGTCTATCATTAATCATTAGCCAGAAAGTACAGATGCTCCAGATCTGTGCCATCTTTGTTCAGCTGACATTGGCTACTGCATGCAACATATTTCAGTTTGCATTTGACTGTGACTCTGCACCTGCATGATACAACTTGGAAACTCTTTGGTGTCTACCATTCCGGAAACGCATTGTTCCTCTTTCTCTGCTTACTTTTATTTTGTACAGCAATCGAAACAGAGACTAGGGTTATAATTTAGGGGGACTTCTTAACAAATATGTTAACTTCACAGTTTGTCTCTACATACTATTAAAACCTTGCGTGCAATGCTAACATTTAGAATATTGATTAAACAAAGGTTGGGAAATAAGCTTGACTTTTTTTTTCCAATAACCTCCAAAGTGACTCATACATTATTCATGAATGAAGTGAATACCATTTGATTGATTCAACAGCCAATGTTCTTTTTTTCACATTTCTGTTTTGTCACATTATTTTCAAAGGAATGTGAAATCTTCAAAAGTCAAAGTCTGCAAAGAGCTATTTATTTTCTTATGTATTTGGTAAAGGCAATGTGAAAAATACTCTCTCCTCCAACTATTCGACTAAACGTGTGCTCCTGCCAGATGATCCAAAACTCAAAAACATCTGTCTTCTTCTTTTCCCAGATCATTTAGATTTATTTGAATGTTATTTGTACAATCCAAGATCTAGTTCTGTGAGAGGCACAGTGACCTTGAGGGGCAGTGACCTTTATCACTATGAAAACCTCTTAACTGAAGTACAGCTATTGCTAGTTATTATTAAATAGATGCCCTGCCATTATACAAGGGCAGATTTCTAGAGTAAATATTTGCCTGGATCTTAGAAGATAAACAAAATACTGATGGGACCAATGTCAAATCTTCTCAGTAATTTAAGAACAGTAAGATCATTAAGGTGAATTGCCCTTTTACCCCAGATCAACTGGACTGGCCTTTTTTGATCAATAATCACACGCTCCTGAGCAGTGTGGGTGATTTTTCAAATTTTAAATAAAAACAGTTTTTGAATTTGTTTTGCAAGTCAAGGAATACTTTTAATGGTAACACAGATGTAGTTCTGACTACATCTGCATCACCACAATTACCGTATAACATTCTTATAACAAATATAACAAGTATTACAAATCTACAATCTGACAAAAAGTGGTCCACTTTATCAAGATTGGTGTTAAGTAGAATTCACAAGTATACAGATATCTGAGGGTCAGCATTTATAAGTGGTTATGATTTTTATATTTGACAAAAATCTGGAGACTGACATAAAACCTTTCAATATGTGTCTATGTTTGTGGTGAAAATAGCAGCATTACTCAGATTCATCTGTTCTGAGGTAGTAATATTTTATACAAATGTCAAAATACAAACTATTACTTTTATTATATGTTTATAAAGGATTCTTTAGATGAATTAAACAGAGCTGACAGTCTGTCAAAACAGAATATTATAGGAAACATTCCGTTGCTTTCAGCTTGTCAAGATGTCATTGAAATTGTCTAAAAGACTCTAAATTAAAAGCCCTCAAACGAAAGTATTGAAAAGCTTCTGCCTTCTGAGTCAATGGAAGACAACAAGAAACAATAAAGCTACTCAGTACACATTGCACACACTCCATGACCCATGATATTGACAGAGACCTGCAGAGGCAGAATATTTCAGATTGTGAAACTGCAAATACAAAATATGAACTCTTTATCCATCTCTGTGTGCAGATGAGAAAATAAGATCCTTAATGCTGTATTGTTAAATGCAATCGGCCAGATTGAGTTTTGCTTAAAAATCACAGAGAAGTATCCGCTTAGACAGGTTTCCTGCTGAAACTTCACTTGGTTGCCTGGACGTTTTCAGCATTCAGAATAAGGGGTCTTACATAACAGACTGCAAACCCAACGCGTTCCTGTGCATTCATGATTGGCTTTTAACATAAAAAAAGCACCTCAAAAGTTGCAGTGCCTGTCAGGAAATGCTGAGCAGCATTTAAACCCGAAAGATCAGAATAAGTGTCAGGAGAAATCGCTCAGGCGTCACAATCTGTTCCTGCTGTGAACAAGCTAGAACCTTTTGCCTGTGGCTTGCGAGCACGGGAGTGAAGACTACGATGGTAGACGCCAAACAACTGGTTCATGTGCACAAACATCCTGTCTTTACTGGCTCAACGTTCCATTTAATGTGACCTGCAAGGCCGATTCAGCTTAAACGGTGGGTAACATACTTCTTTACGCGTATAGGCAAAGAGAAATGGGGCTGAAACGAGCTTCACAGGGCTCCTGTTTGACCTTTCCTTACGTTTACAGGTGGGGGCCACTGCTGTCCACTCTGTGCCGTTGCTCCTCCAGATACACGAGACGACTCCCTCTCCTATGAGCCGGTGCTTGCTGGGACACTGGAAGGAGATCACTGTGCCAACGCTGGTGCCATCACCCTGGATCAGCTTCAGGGTGCCCAGTGATGGCAAAGGCATGGGGTTGCACTGCCCTGGTACAAACAAAAAAGAAAAGAAAGCGGGGCCAATATTAGCAGATACGTCAAAGAATGTCTTCATCTTGTCATGCAGTGGGGGCAGCACGGCACTGCTGGGGCCCCGGGTTCAATTCCTGGGCTGCTGTCTGTGTGGAGTTTGTATGTTCTCCCTCCAGTTCGTGTGGGTTTCCTCCAGTTGCTCCAGCTTCATTTATGATCTCAATACTTGCCACCGTGTTTAATGGACAGAAAAGTGTACGGTGGTAATTTATTATTAAAAGTGAAAGAATTGCTTGCGTAGCTGAGGTTTAGAAAGTTTGTCACTGTTTAACAGCTGTCCGTGCCTTGAAAAAAAAACACAGGTCTCAAACTGTTACATTTTTACTCGCACAACTCAGCACTAATGGAGCATTAAGTCAATGATTCATTATGATTCTTATAGTATTTACTTGTTTCATGAAGTCCAAATCAGGCCACCAAACAGTTTTTGTGACTCCTAACACGACAAACGCAGTTTCCCATAAAAGCCACAAGAGGTCACATCCTTTGCTGTTACACAAACAGAACAGCATGGACTCACTGTATTTGGCATATTTTGCGTTGATATAACGTTAACATCTCATTTTGACAAATGAAACACCTTGTTACAGTATATGTAAAAAGAGATTTAACTTACATCCTACCCAAAATCATATATATATATATGTTACAGTAATACAATATACATTACAGAAAAAATACCACAATAAAGTTATGAACATTTTTGTCAAGTGTACATTTAAATTTCGCGAATGTATACGACAATCAAGAGCTTCTCTGTGCTGATAAGCATCTCCTTCTCTACACATTGCCTGCTGTAATTAGTACACCTCTTGTGTTCTCGGTATGCTTAGGTGGGGACAGGACTTGTGAATTCAAATGACTCCCCTGTTTTTGTTATTCAGACCAGTGAAATCAAAAATAAATGTTAATAGACACGAGTCCATTGCAAGTAATTAAGGTTTTGCATAGCAAGTCATGAACTATGTTTCAAAAGCATTACCGAGACATTATTTGCATTTATTTCCCGAGTCAATTGATGGCAGTAAACAACAAAAACGTTGACATTATAGTCGAGCAGTACATAGCACGCTATAACTTTCACTTAAAGAACTTCAAGATGCTCTCAAACGGACATTAACCGTATACATACGTGGAATATACAGTATCAAGTACTGTATGTACAGTATCTAAAGTATATATTTATGTATTCAATATGCATGTGTGCTTCAAATGCAACTATAGTATGCGCTTCCTGTATCAAAACCAGGGTTATTCACTTATTTATTAAGCGGAATGATGTTTTTAAACTTGAAATAATTTCCCTATTCAGCTAGAAACATTGATCCTAACAACTGCTGGTTAAGAAATATGGTGAATTAACTAGTAGTCTAATTAAAAGTACCGCAGTACTCCTTCAGACAGTGCAGTGGAATGCTACAGGGTATCGTCAATACTGCAGAACTATATTGAAATATTTTTATATTGTATTAAGTACTGACTGCTGATCCTGATATAAAGTTACGGTACTTAGACTGTTGTTAAAAAAGCCCTTAACACGCTAAGTTTTATCTAAAAAGCTCTGCGATGCTTCCCGTTTAAATTGCCTTTGAAAAATTTAACAGGTAGAGATTAAGGGGAAAAGACTTTGACTACATTGTGCTGGAATAAATAACGATTACAATTGTGGCGTATTTTTAATATACAAATAAAGTTCAGAATGAACTTCATTATAGAGAATGTAAACACATTTTGCCCAGTAAATCAGACGGACATTATTTCGATGCTTGACCGTAGTTCAATGAGACTAAAATACCCCATTCCTACATTTCAAATAACCTACATTAAAAATGCAAGCCGCCCTCCGGCCGATCCAGACATCAGGATTACGGTTGATTTATGACTGTCCAGCACCTGCGCTTCATTGTAAAGTTAATTATTTCAATTTATTGCTCATTATGGAGCTATGTAGTTTACTAATTGTTGTTTGCTATTAAATTCTACAAAAAAAGAGGCAGAAAAGGCGCTTGAAGCATAAAGGACAGGTTTAAAATCCAAATTTATCATAAACATGTTCATGATGTACAGTATGATAGCATGCATCTTGTTATCGATTTCATCCTGGCCGCGCATCGCTTAAGTCTTTTTAACTGGAGGTGAAAGATACAACAGCTCCTTTGCTTTGGTGATGGCGAGATATAACAGGTATTAGAAATCACCACTATCTCAGCACAAACTGTAACTTGAAACACTGACATCAGCCGATTGCTTACCTGTGTGATTGCGGACACGATTGCCATCTTCTTCAGGAGCTAAAATCGTCCTTGAAATATCAAAGACCGAAGCAGTTACTGTTGACATATCCGGTCCGAAAAATCGGGTTCCTGATTTTTCTCTTGAAATAGGAATAGAAAAAAAAACCCCAGCCAAAAATCAAAAATAAAGGCATAAAACACTTGCGTAGAAAACGTAGATCCAGGTGTTTCTTTTCACGTTGTAGTTTGACAGACTGCTATGGTTTCCCTTGCCCTGCCGTGTGTACGGGGTTTAATTATCCCTCAAGCCTCTTTCTGAATGGCAATATATTAACGATGCAGAAAGGGGCATCATGTCCCAGATGATCCTCTTCTGCGTTTAAGCTGTTCATCAAACTGTGACCGTCAGTCCATGTGCTCCTAGTCATTTGATTCTTTTCTCCCCCATTACTGACACCGTTTCCGAAGCGAGACAAACAACTACTGCCTGGTACAGTACTTCCTCTAGTTAGTTTCAAGCATATATGCACTAGTTCTGCTCTGCAGGGAGAGGGTGGGCGAGGGAGGCTAGAGTATATCTCTTCTTGACATTAAATTCCTGCTCCACCTCTTGCAGTTTTTGTCCTCCTGTAAACACGTTCTCTCTTTCACTGCCGAACAAAGAATATGTTCTGTTTCTGGAGTTACTGAAGATGAGTTATATAATTCCAGTTGTATTGAGATGATGCGTTTTTAATCCAAAGCGATGTATATTCACACAGCAGGGCTTTTTACCGGAGCACGTCCAGTGAAGTACTGTGCAGTACCTTGCCCAAGGGGACAGTATATCAGCAGTGCCACACCTGGGATATTTTAAACCTACACCTTTCCAACTACCATTCCAATACTCTGATCACTGTGCTCCACACTGCTGCCCTACTGTGTTTAAAAAAACGATAGATGTCGCTTACAAAGGTATTTTATTAAAATAATTCCCACGTTAATGATTTAGGGCAGGCAGATTCACTCAAAATGGACTATTCGACACCTTACAGACGCTTTGTCCGACTTAACCCAAACGAAATCCAACAGTTTTTCGCTCAGCCGTGTGACAGAATGTCAAGTCTTTCAAAGTGTTTGGATTATTATAAAAAGCAGTTACCATATTGAGGGGGAAATACGTGAATTAAGAAACATTTTCCTGTATTTAGTAAAGTATGTGCAAGGAAAATGCGCTGATGTTGAAGTTAAAATTTTGGCTACTTTCAGCTTTAGGCCTGAACACCGAGATGTTAACTACAGAAGACTGGAGATTTCAACCGCTGCAATAAAACTGGAGATTTCAGTACTGATCCCACAAATCAATCGTGTCCCCCGTGAGCTGTCGAGATTTTATTGTATCTGCACTGTAAGTCAACCAGCTGTAGAGAAGCCACTAAATTATACAGTGGGAACAAAGATATTACTTCACAATTACGACCTCTTTTATACAGTATACATTTCTTTGATGAGCAGCTTTTGCCAACTATAAACGGAATAGGAACTGGAGCAGTCATAAGACAAAAACATATTTCGTGTAAGAATCATGCATAAACTGTTGGGTTTAATCTCTATGGCTGAAATCTGATTTGAGAAGTAGATATGCTTTGTATTTTATAACAATATTAACGATAAGTTTACATGTGTAGACCCACAACTGACCTTTTTCATGAGAAATATCAAAGCTTTTCTCTTGTATTGATAGTGTTCTTGCATTGAAATGAGGCATTACATGACAATTTTCATTCTAAGGAATTGTTCAGTGTTTATTCTTTACTTTAATAGAATGATATGATTACATGACATTCGCATTCGTTGAGCAGGCCAATAAGCTGATACACATCAACATACAGTAATTGACTGAAACTGAAAATATAACCACTGTTCTTCCCTTCTGTATATCCTTGTTTAAAATGACGTAAATTCATAACGCCATACTAATGGGCTAATTATTGCAAACTTACAATACATCACTGTTATTTAATCTTAATAAGGGTAATTTAAAATTATATATTTCAAACTATGACATACTGTATATGAAAATGTGACTTTTGAAGGTTTCAGTATGAATTGTTCTTAATAATTTAATAATAATTATAATAATAATTATAATAATAATAATAATAATTGCTTACACTTATATAGCGCTTTTTCTGGACACTCCACTCAAAGCGCTTTACAGGTAATAGGGACTCCCCTCCACCACCACCAATATGCAGCCCCACCTGGATGATACTATACAGTAAATGTTTATGTACAGTATATAGGATATATAACTAAAAACACAAGGTTAATTTATATGCAAAATATAAAGTACAGCTATCAGAAATGGTACAGTAGGTTATCTTTTATTTTTTGAAAATGCAAAGATTGTGTTCAACTCAATATTCAGCAGGAGCTGAAAACTAAGAAAGGTTTAGTCCCTTCACACAAATTTCATAAGACTCTGTTCCCAGAGAACAGGTCAAAGGAATAAAAAATGTCTTTCTTACATTATTTATAAGGCAGACAAACCTGCTGCATGTTCCTGCTCCAAGCCTTCCTCTAGATCAAGAGAAAAGAGAATTCCATGCTCCGGTGTTGCTGCTCTCTTCCATCCTCTCTCTTTAGTGACGGAACAGGAGAGGAACGAAATGTTTGAAGTCTTTTCTGTCAGATTAAAAACGAAACAAGTGCAAACTCATCCAAACTGCCACATTGAAGTGGTTGCTACATAATTTCCTTTCCATTTTTATGGAATTTTACTGAATACCACTAGATACTATTTGAGAAGAACCTGAGTTTTCTACAGGCTTTGCGCTAAAAAAACTACACAACAAGAGTGTAAAGACCGTTTAGTCTCAAAGATGAAATAATATTAGGAAGCAGTAGTTTAAAACTGACACATCTGTTAAGAGCTCAATGAATAAAATAAACATTATAGGCATCTATGTTAGACACAGTCTATGTATATTACATAATTAAACTAATTTTAAGAATAATTAACATTCATTTATTAGCGTTTCAAATCAAACTAGATTACAGACAGAAAAAATTAAAATTATGCAAGTACTGTATGTGTTATGATTTTTACAGTGCTCAACTGGAAACCCCATTTTATGTCTTCACATGTAAAGTATAAGTGAAAGTGTTGGTTTATTGACAGGGGCTTCCTTTTACCGAAGACCTTGTGCTTGATAACTTGACCACATGGAATGAATTTGCAAAGCTTTAGACAAAGGTACACTAATAGTTCTGAAGAAATTCCGAAGTGATTCAGCAAACATCCGGTAGAATAGTTTTGCATTCTGGCACAATAAAATGCGAGGCAGTGTTTATATGGAAAACAGCTTTGTCGTTAGATACGGGAAATTTTACTGATAACATTAAGAACGGCCTGATGATGAACTGGGATTTATTTATTCAAGGCTGTATTCTGCAGTATTGCATTTCATTTAGGGAAAATGAGAACACAAAAATAGGCTGTTTAATAACTACCACATAATCAGTCTCAAAAGCAACCAACTGCTTCCTGAAGGATCCTGAAGTGTTGAAACAGTGTGGCTGGGCACTTCGTAACAAACACCCACAACGCTGTAAAACGGTGCCTCCTCTTTTCTGTCCTAGGAGCTTTTCTCTTTCTTTTCTTTTCTTCAGGCTGTCTGCACAAGCATATAGTGATACAGTTCATTCAGACATTCACATTAACTCAAAACCAAAATCTGTTGCCAAATGTTAACATTTAGAGAATACAATGAAGGAGATGAAAGCTGCATCCATCAGGCCAGCAGTGACATATTTAGGCTGTAATATTACTGCCTGTTTGAATGCCAAGGGAAAACATGGCACTGAAACATGTCCATTCATGAAGAAATATTTGTTTTCATTTGCAAAAGAGGATCTGGGGTTGAACGTTTGTGCTCAGATTGATATAACGTTCAGGTTCATGGTCTTCAGTAGTGGAGAACATTTGCCATAGCCTGAGGCTTACCAGGGATGTCAATGAACTGAACTCAACAGAGGTTGTAAGCTGGACTCTCTGTAATAAACCGGCAGGAAGCTTATCTGAAGTCAGTGGCTGAACAGAAGATTTAGAGTCCCATCTCCATCTAATCCTATTCAACACACAATGTCTGGGACATGTAATAAAACTAAATTATTCCAATAAATTACACAAACATACATGGCCAATGAGTCGACCAGAAATGTAAGATGCAGCCTAGTATCTAGTAAAGCCTAGTCTTTGAATTCTCAGTTCATATTGTAGTATTTTTATTCCTTCTATCAGATTGTCTGTACAGGCTTTACTAATGGCACACTTTCATAGCGATAATGGCGGATATGATTCACTGTGCGAAATGACTGGGCTGTAGACCCCAATTTTCAGGCTCTGTGTGAACAATGTGCACAGTACAGTATAATACCACCAGCCTTTAAAGTTTGCTGGCAGATCTTAGCATAATATAATGATCCGAGCAGTGGATACATAGTGCTTCTTGAGTAGTTAACTCTGCCATGCTTCATTCATAGGAGCCACTTGGATTATAACAAATGTTATTTATATTCTGAGCAAAACCAAACACATGTAACCATATTTCAAGCCTTATCTAAAGGTGACAGCCCAGGGCATCCATCATCAAACTGGACAATGGCATTGGCATTTGCACCATTAGAAACAAACTATTAGTTTAATGATAACAAGGAGTTTTGGTGCATACCCCTCTTATCATCATACTTATATTTATGTCCAGTTAGTTTGTATAGTATAATTTAATTAAAAGTGTAGAATGGTTTATTTTGTACACATTTTGTGCCACCATTGAAATCACTTTTGCAACCTTATGTCCTATGTTCAGAGCATCACAGAGATTTGCAAAATGTCAGCTCCTTTTCTTTCTCTTCCTGATTTAATGAACTTTGTTTGAGTACAGCAGAGTGTTCGAAACACACAAAAATGATGAAGGCGGTCCCAGAAAAAGCACGTGAGCACATGTCAGTTTAGATAAGAAGCCGTAGTCTTTCATACACAGAACATTTCAGTGCCAGAGATCCCTCCCTGCTTTGCTAGACACAATATTCTTTTTTAAATTGGAATTAAAATTCCCGTTGTTTGTTTTCTGAGATGTATTACTTTCTGAATTCCAAGGGTCTAAAGTTCATTAAAGCAGAATTGTTTGGTTGATAAAATTGAAATCTTTCTGTAAAGACCATAAGTAAGTTGGGGCATTAACAATTAGGTGTTAATGTTTTATGTTAGCACCTTCAATCGATGTTAATGTTTGCATGACCTGTTTGGAGAGGTTAGTGGGTTGACTTATGTGTGTATGTGGTTTCAAAGAGAGCTTGAAAATGAGTAGCTTTAACGATTTGGTTTATATTTTTTTTCACACCACAAAAAGTACTAGGCATGGCTAAGTATTTGTGTATAACAAATCCCAAAGGGCTCTAGGATTAATTGAAGAAATGATAGTGTTTCTAGGGATTATTGTTATGTGATTTTCTACTCTTGCTCCCTCACTCCCTATGGTTTTTCATTGCTCTTTGAATTATCAGTGCTGTTTTCTGGATCAGTACTCTGGGAAGTGCATGTGGTTTATTTCAGTTCATCTAATGGTTTATTCCTGCCTTTGACTAAACCTTTCAAGTAAGAAATGCTCATTCCATCACATGGTATCTATTTATACACAGCCATCTAGAAAGGCTTGTGGAATAGCCATAAATGATGCTTGCGTTTTTAAAATCTAACACATGGCTTTGTTTTTTTTTTTCTGCAGTGAAGTGAACATAAGGGCTATTTTCATTTTAATTGTATCTTGTTAACAGATAGGAAAAATAAGTAAAGCAAAATAATCTGAAGTGGAGCAAGATGTATTAGTTCAGAGACATGAGAGCAGATGTTTTTAATGCATATTTAAGTTTTTTTAAAAAATATTATTATTTTTACTTTTATATATAATATTGCAGTCTTCCCTTTAAAGCTGACAATATGCATTCTAGTTTAATGATTTCTTTGAACAATAAGGATATGTATTACACTGGCAGACATACAGTATAAAGTTTGTAGCAAAATTCACATATTTTCTATTTACACATTTAGATAACTACAGTGAACCACATCTAAAATCATATAGAAAAAATATTTGATGCTGTACATAGACATCTATAGTTCTTAAATGTAAAAAAATCACAGAAGATTCTAAGTTATCATCTGCATTCTTTTGCCGTTCTTTTTTTTTTCTTTGACTTTTCAAATGAAAGAAAATAAATGAGTTAGGCCTGCTAGGTTTTGTACACAAATACCGGATGCTGCCTCCTCTGCTGAGGGCTCAAGGTGACACAAACACTACCACAAAGAGCTTGGCAGATAACTCAAGACACAGCCCTGTCACAGCGCCAGGTCTCTCACGTGGTAACCTGAAGAGGAGGGTGAAAATAGTGCTGTGTGGCCAGGGTTCAGCATCTCCATGTAAACCACAGGATGGATTGCCTCTGAAGGCATTGCAGAAAATTAAATGGCTCGAGCAGCTGGTGATATACAGGACAGAATCCTGTAAATCAGAGACCGATGCATTGTTGCTGGCGTGGCAATGAAGGAGGCGAGGGAACATTCAGCAGATTCCCCAGAAGCAGAACTGGCTTAGGCCTCTACCCGGACACTACATTCACAAGGCTGCGAGATTCCATGAGTCTACAATTCACGAAGCCATCTGGCCGGATAACCCTCGGAGTTCCTGGGCATTCTTTCTGTTGCACATTTAGAAATTTAGCAGCAAGTTTTGGGATAACCCTGTGAAACTTTTTTTTTAAAAGCATGGCACACAGAAAACCCATGCATCCTTGAGTTTGTAGTCCGCTTGCTCAAGTACAGCGTTGCACGGGAAGCCGAGGCCTAAGTCAGTAAACAACAGGCTCAAGGCAGGACACACCCTGGATGGGACACCAGTCCATTGTAAGGCACACACATACACACACACACACACACTCACACCAGCACCGATTTTTATGGAAGCCAGATCCTACCAGTATGTCTTTGGACTGTGGGAGGAAAACGGAGTGCCCGGAGGAAACCCACACAGACATGGGGAGAACATACAAACTCCACACAGATGCAGGTAGCACCCCACTAAGTGAACCCGAGGCCCAAGTGCTGCAAGATAGCAATGGTAACCACAGCACCACCATGCTGGCCCCACCAGAAATCTGTACTTGAACCATGTAAGATTGACTTCAGGGTGACTTGTGAATCAACAAACAAAAAAGCTCATATCGTCAGTTTTCCACTGAAATGCGTTTCGTATGCATTCAAATACATATAAGACAAACGCAAGGCTTCCATTCTTATTTGTAGTAGTACAGTATGTATTGTTTGGAAACAAGGAAGAAGAGCTGAAATGCAGCCACGTATTAAGGTAAGGTATGGCTTCAATTATTGGCCTTGTTTCTCCGTGAGAAATGGCAAAACCCAGAATTAAAAGTTCCAGACAGCTGCTGCACATCAGGATGCTAAACAGACAAAAAAAAAATTGAAATGCTACTCTTTTTGAAAAAAAAGAGTGTGCATGCACTGTGGGTGAAGTGGGTCCCTACAAATATATTTAAATTAATCTATTCCAATCCAGAAAAGTACTATTATTGCAGAAGGGAAACTCAATGTGCCTTGTGTACTCCTT